TACACTTAGCTGTTTATTGTTTACAAGTACCTAAGAAACAAATAATTACAAATAGTAACAATACGTTATTTTTTATACTTAAACTAGAGACTGATGCAACTCGATTTTAGTGTTTGCAATTTGTCTGCAGTGCCTTGGAATGGGGAAAGTGAAAATTATATCACCAGAAATTTGATCAGGGAGTAAGTGATTTAAGGGTGTTTAAAAATTGGTCATCTGCAGGAATAAGTCTTTTGAAAAGTCCTTGTCGATGCTTTTTTATAAGTAGAACTATGTAAGTCAAAGAAAAAGAAGAATAAACAATTCAAATTAATTAACAATACAAAAATAATAATATTAAGAAGAGCAAGAGAATATATCATAGGTCAGACTCTTATTAAGCTATTAATGCTTTCAATACATAATCCATATAAATAAATATATTTAAACAACATTTTGAGCTTTTTGACTTATTGTGATCTTACAAGTATAAATTATATCATAATATATCTAACAACATAATAATAAACAAAAATCTAAGTATTTATTAAATATCCAAAATTACAAACACTTCACATTTTCCTTCATTTTCGTGTATTTGCATATTTGAAAATGTTATAGCTTTGACTTCTGTACCTTGAGGATGTTTTCCAAGTTGAAACTCTTCTCCAAAGCCTTTAGCTTTAATTTTAAACGTGGTTGTGTCAAATTCTTCTATTTTTACTTTCTAAATAAAAATATTACACATTAAATACATATATATATATATATATATATAGTGTAGTAATTGAATATTTTAAGACTTTAAAAAGAACAGTACTAAATAGCTTACTCTAGCAATATAATTAGGTTCAGCACTAAAAATGAACAACAATTCATCAAGAAAATTATACAAAAGAGTCATCATATCGTGACCCTCAACTTCTATATCATATGACTCTTTCATTTCAATATAATCCACCTCTGTCATGTAATGAAACATAGCATTAGCACATTGTTCAAATGCTTCAGACAAAGTACTTCCCCATGCATGTATTCTACAAAAATAAAAATGTATTAATAATTTTAAATTTTTGTTATTGTTTATTTTCAAGTATTATCTAATAAGTATTAAAGCTTCTTAACATTACAATACTTACTGAATATCTGCTGTATGGTCCAAATCTGAAACAAACATTTAATTTAGACAAAATGTAATTATGTTGTAGTTTAAAACCATTATTATTACTGCAATGACTCAATGAAATAATTGCTAAATATTTTTAGGCACCTACTATCATGCATTATGAACAATCTGCCATTAAAATTGATCCACTCATCATTTAACTTTTCCACTTGTATTATTTTATATTACTATTGCATATCACTAAATGTGTCAAAATATTAAATGTATCCTGCTTGTGTTATTTGTATTTTATAAACTAACAGCACATACATTTTGCATTGTTAGCCGATAATAGGATAATTTAATGCAATATTAAAACTAATAACGTAAAATGTATATTGCTAAAAGTCAAAATAATAATTGGCCATAATAAAATTGGCATTACAATTGTAGGATAGTAATAGATTTTGGCGAGAAAACAATTTTAGAATGTGTATATTGTGTTTTCAGAGGCTTTTATTTTTATGTTGCATATTGTTTAGTATATTCTGCATTTAAGATAATCTTTGGATAATCAAAAAATTAATAATGCATAATACATAGCAATAGTAATGTTAAGCAATTTATTTTGAATGGTTTCATGTTAATTATAATGGATGAATGTCTGTTTTAATGTTAAAAATATTTTTTAAAGTATTAGCTGATCATAATTTATCAACTCTACACTGTCTATAGCAGTGGTTTTCAACCTTTTTAACAATATAGCACACTTCTTTTTCTACAAAATTTTTGCAGCACACTAATTCATATAATACGTGAAGCATATATTTATTTATATATATATACAAAATCAACTTCATTAATAGATTTATCGCGGCACACTTCAAAGGCGCTCGCTGCACACCGGTTAAAAACCACTGGTCTTTAGTATAAAAATAATTAATAATAAAAAGTTGACATGAACCCACAACTTTTATTTGTAAGTATACTCAATAGGACTTTTTTATTTTATTAAAATGGAATATTTTCAATTCTTATTCAATTTACATGATAAAGAATAACAAGATGTTATGGTATGAATGAAGAAAATGTCCAAAGACACTACTTAAAAAATACATTCAAGTTTTTATTTTTACAACCTATATAGATATATAAAAAAATGACTGCATGATTAAAATTTTTTAAGATAACAAGGAGGATTATCCGATGAAAGGAAGATTAGAAATAAAAGGATTTAAGGCACTAATACCCATTCACTTTTTAACTCTTTAATTAATTTAGATTGATACCAAATTATTAAAATATGTACAATTCTATCACAAATGTAATTAATTTGTATTAAATAATCAAGACAAAGTATTATTTTAAATATTGTAACAAAAACAATTTTTAATTCTTTAGAAAAAAAAAAAAGAAAATAGACGATAGAATAACTTTCGCTCATATGTGTAAGATGCTTCTTCTTACTAGATAACTAAATCTTTTATCAAATAAAATATAGTATTTGGCATAGTTAGACCACCTTAAACGGTTGAGTGTGAATTGCATTATATTGTTTACTTTTTTTTATTATTTGGCTTAATAATATTTTTTGATATAATTTAACATTTACTAACAAATGAAAATTCAATACATGTCTAGTTCATTAAAAAAAATTAAATGATGAATTATTGTAGTGTAAAATATGAAACTCATTTTTCTCAAAAAATTAAGTACAATAACTAGAAATTTCCTTTAGACAAGATACCTTTATAGTAGATAGTTTACATCTCTGTAAAAATAAGTTAATAAGTTAACAAATATAAATAAGCAATAGCTAAATAAAATACATAAAAATATGTAATTTAATTAATTTATAGTCATAATTTTTTTTTTATGCTCTACTTTAGTATAGATTAAAGAAAAATTTAATACACAAACTAACTTACATTTGTGATTGAACCATAACTAAATATATTATAAAAACTTTTTTTTGATGGGCCTCACATTCATACTTGCACTCAGGTAAATTCCAGTCTTCTTCTTTAATGTCACCCATGTCAAAATATGAATGTGTCTTTCAATTAAGTAAAAACAAACAAATTATTTTGTAAATTATTTGATTGTGTAACTGAATTAAGTTAGGAATTGTAATATATAATATAATTACAAAATACTAATTATTTACAAAAATGACATTTAACAGTAAGTTGTAGTTTGTACAGTGAGTAGATACTAGCTGATACCCGACAACTGTCAATAACTGCAATTTAAAACCGTCAAGTACCAAGTAGTATTATAGTGAAATTAGTGAATACTGAATTACCTATTTAAATTTTATCTAGTTAAGACTAAAGAAAAAAAATTTTGATTTATATTTTATTTTGTCATCAATACCGAACAGTTTTATCAATCTGTTATCACGTTGAAGAAACCACGTGATAAAACATAACAAAAACTATAGAACAGTAAAGATAACAGTCAGGATTGTAAAAAAATTTTCGGAATAGCACGTCATTAAATTATTTAAAAAACATTAAACAAGAGTTATAAAAAATAGCTTATTTAAATTATATGAGTAAGATATCATTCAAATAATATTCAATATTACAAGTGTTTTATTAAACCGACGCTGTCACGTTGGCTACTCCTGTTCCGAATATCCCTCCCTCAACAACCAACCACAGCGCACCGCTTACACCACGAGCACAACTACAGCACCTCTCTTCTTTTGCGTCAATTGCTTGTTCTCAACAGAGCTAAGGCCGACGGCGACTTGCGATTTCTCAGGTTTAACGAAATTTCATCCGTTCGAATCCACCAACGATGGCCATCTCCAAACCCGAATTAGCTTGTGTCTACGCCTCACTAATCTTGGCCGACGATGACATCGATATCACGGTAATTATTTTTCTAATGTCGATAATATGTTGATGAAGAATACGAGTGCTGGGTCTGTTTGGTTATATACTTCCGCGTGATGCGTCTATTTTATTTGTTATTATACTTGGACTCATTCAATTCTGAAGCATATTTTGGGATTTCCTTTGGGTTACCGAAATTGTGCTGTAATCGTTGCCGCTATTTTCAAAACTACCACGTACCTCCCTATGCTTGTACCACGTTGGCCATTTTGGCTACCTTATTCCTAACCGCGAAAATTTTTAACTACCGGTATCGTATTACGGTAGTTCGTATTTTACAAATCTACTACATTTTTATAAGTTATTTTAAGCTGCTTTTTGCTTTTGTAATATTAATTCACATTTGTGATGGATATTGTATTTTCTTTTTATGCATTTTATCATTACATTTTAACTGAAATATACATTTCGTATCGTGCCAGTATGTTAGGTTAAGTGAAGATGTTTAGGTTTAAAATTCGCATTTAATGAATATTATACTTTAAATTGCAATTTTTTGAATTACTGCCCTTGTTAAACTTATTTTTACATTTACAGTTTTATACTTCCTAGTTTCTTAGCATGTTTTTATTTTGTGTCTTAATTTATATTTGATGTGCATTGTATCTGAGTAATTGATACTTTTCTTATCACATAATAGTTCATTATTCGAATTTTGATGAAAACAATAGTTTTATCCAAATTTGGTTTTGAAGTGTTAGAATACTTAATTACTTTATAATAGTCCTAAAAATAAATAATTTCCTTCTTCATTCTTTGTTTTAATTGTAGTTTGTGTGTATAATTAATTTATGGTCTTATGATAGGGAGAAAAAATCCAAACAGTCCTAAAAGCTGCCAACGTCGAAGTTGAACCATATTGGCCTGGTCTGTTTGCCAAAGCTTTAGAAAATGCCAATGTTAAGGATTTAATCACAAAAATTTTATCAGCAGTAGGAGCTGTACCAGCAGCAGGCGCTGCGGGTATGAATATTTCATTAGAATAATAAAATATTTTTGTAAAAGATGTGAATTAGTAATAAGTAATTTCTAATTGCAATTGCTGTCCCATCTGAAGCTAAGGAAGAAAAGAAAGAAGAGAAAAAGGAAGAAGAGAGTGAAGAGGAAGATGATGATATGATGAATATCTGGATTATATTTTATTAAATATTTAAATTTTATTTTAATTAAATAGTTTTGTTAAAACGTGATATTATAGTTAAAGTGTTCATGTAGTAATGTCATTAAGTTTGACACCAGTATTTTTAGTCACTTTTTTGGGATAGGATACATCACTGATTTTTGTTTGTCAAGTAACTAAACTTGAATGGAATAGAATTTTAATTTTATAACACATTAGCCACTAGTGGTCATTCTTAGCGTGATCATAAGTCCTGCTTTAAGCGAATTTGATTATTGGTAGGTATCAAAATCATAAATTTATACTGTAGTATATCTACATAAATTTATTTATATGTTAACCTATATGTATACATATTGCAAACATTAAAACCCTATAGTCTATGGATAAATGACTATTGTAATCTATTCAAGTTGTCCTGAGACAAATCTATCATGGGAAAATATAATTTTCTGAATATAATACCAATAATGACACATTTTCAGTCTGACTTATTCTATATTTATTTTCTATTCTTGTTAATTTGGAAATGCTACTGGTGAAAATTATTTTTATATATATGGACACTCATGAATAGATCAAGAATATTTTATTATTTAGTAATTTTTGTAATATAAAATTAAATATTTATTTTTAATTTTTAAATGTATATAAAATATTTATATTGGAGATAAAGATATGCCAAAATCAGGTGGGTCCCAGGACTGTGCCCCCCTGGTCCTTCATTAATCCGGGCTTGACTCTGTTATTACATTATTATGAATTATGATTAATATATTAGCTGCATTTTTCTGTTGTCGTTTTTTAAATAAATAATAAAAGTTTTTTTCCAGTAAAAAAATTGTTATTTTACACAAAATTATATGGTTTTCATATTAAAATATATAGGTGTCCTGATTTGAAGGAAAATAATTATGGTCCCATTAGTCATACTTCATAACTTATTAATACACCAACTGTTTTCTCAAGTTATTCCTAATTTGTATGTACTATTATCTTCGGTTCTATTATAGCTATTAATTTGATACTAAGAGAATAATTATCAGTGTTAAAATTTTCTCTATGTCATAGCGCTATTTTAAAGTAAACTGCTGAAGCCATAGAAACTATAAATTTATAGTACTGTATAATGTTAAACATTACCATATGACTACCAGTGGTGCTAATGTGTTTAAATTTGTGAATAAGTTGTCTTGCTATATTACATCATTCTGGTTTTTGACAATTATAACTAGTTCAGGTGATTCTCTTCAATTATATGGGGCTCTTATTTCTAGTGATTAATATTTGGCATATATTATAACTACATTAATGAGTATAATATCCCATCTTTATAGCTAGATATGTTTTTTGGAGACAGATAATTTATAAACAATATGAAGGTTACTCAGTGTATAAGATACTGATATACCGTGATTTGCTAAATTGCTATAAAACCTTTATTGTTGTAATGTTGTTAGCACATATCAGTCATTACATACCATGCTCTGTGCTGAAAACCTTAAGTAAGCAGTTAGTTCTGCTTGCAATTCCTTATATTCTGTTTAATAGTCTTGCTTTACATAAGTAGCAAATTATGATGTATATATACGGAAATTATTACCTGAGTACAATTTGTATGAAGAAATTAACTTCCAACACAACTGTTACCACCATCATAAGATTTACTATAATAAATATATTTATGAAAATTTTGATTTAATCATAATTATTAGTTTTCTAAGAATTTTTATAATTAATGTTATATTGATTTTTTTAAATACTAATAACTTTTTATTTCCAGGTTTATTTGAATAAAAATCTACTTCATCGACTGACTGTTTCCTCACACAAAAATAACAATATAAACTTTATTTGTTTCATTTTGTAACTTGTAAAATTATGCAGATTAAATTATATGTTGTTATATTTTATTATTTATGTTATTTTTATTTTTCCTTTATATTTCCTAATGTTGAAACATTAGTATTTAATAATGTTTATCATTTGATATGCTGGCCTGCACTTATGTTATAAAATATGATGAAAGAATATACCAGTAATGTAGTCATTGAGGTGTAAATAACTGGATTCTCTTAAGAATACAATGCCGATAAAATGTTTTAGGTTAGAAAACAATATGTTATATAATTGAGTATAATATTTATGATAAAAGATAATATTAGTAGTATTAGATAACTAATTGATGGTGAATAACAATTTGCTTACCTGTAACAGTTGAAATATAATAAGAATATTTTATCTTAATTTGAATGAGTCCTTGACTTATGAACTACTTATATCTGTGTTGTTTAATGATGATCATTGTTATAATTATTTAGTAACAGTTAATACAAGTTGGGTTTGTTGAGTCAATGTTAAAAATTCAAATTTCATCATTTAAGCAAAATGTCTAATAAGTTTATATCTATCAAAGATTTTGAAAACTATGCTGTTGGTGCATTGCCACGATCTGTTCTGGGTTATTATCAGAGTGGGGCGTGTGATGAGTTCACACTTTCAATTAATAATAAGGCATTTAATAAGTAAGATTATTAATTTTTTTTAACAATTAATATATATTAAAATTTTACAATATGGTGTGAAGATTGCGCATAGTGCCACGGATGTTACGTGATGTTCGAAATAGGGATTTGAGTATCACTGTTCAAGGTGATAGGGTAAATGTACCTATAGGTATATCTCCTTGTGCTATGCACAAAATGGCTCATGAAGATGGAGAGTGTGCATCTGCTAGAGGTATTATGACTGCAAAAATTATTAGTAGTTAGCTACTATCATTTATAAAAACTAATATTCATTATTAATGATATTATGATTTAAAAAAAAATTAAACAGCTGCTGGAAAGCATGGTGCAATTTTTATTCTTTCGACGTTGTCTACGTGTAGTTTGGAAGAAGTTGCCGCAGCGGCACCTAACACAGTGAAATGGTTCCAACTCTACATTTATAAAGATAGGTAAATATATAATGAAAATTATTTACATATATCAAATATAAATTTATAGTACCTATTCATTAGAGATAACTTGATACAATTTTAGGGATTTAACTACATCATTAATACGGAGAGCAGAAAAAGCTGGTTATAAAGCGCTTGTGTTGACTGTTGATGCTCCAGTATTTGGAATTCGCTATAAAGACATAAAAAATAACTTTAGTTTACCAAGTTGGTTGAAGTAAGATAATAGTATAAAGTTAAATTTATAATTTTTTTAAATTTTTTAACTTAACATTTTCAGATTAGGGAATTTCACTAAAGAACAATCAGAAATAAACCAAACTAATGGTTCAGGTCTTACGAAATATGTAATGAGTCTTTTTGATGATCGTTTGGTATGGGATGACATTAAATGGTTGAAAAGGTTATTATATAATTATTTTTAAATGACATTTAATACTGAAGAAAATAAAAAAAAAAGTGAGCAAATGGGTACTGAGAGACAGCAGAGGCTGTACATTAAGTATTTAGGTGTTGTGGAATCACGAATCACTATTATGATTGGGTTAAATTTGAATTCAGCAATATATCTTAGAATATGAAAAGGATTTTCACTGGAGACCATTTGTTAGTCTGTACTATTAAGTTTATTTTCATATATTTCTCGATGTTTTTATTAAAGTAATTAGTTTTAACATAAACATTATTATAGGTTGATTTAATTTTTTCCAAAAACATTACATTTATAAAGCACTTATATTATTACTTATAAGTTATTAGTATTTAATTAAAATAATAATATATAATTTTACCATATTATGTTATAGTTTTTAACTTTTGAATAATTTTACCACAAAACTAAATAAGTGCATAGTATAAAATATAAATAGATAACACTAATATATATGTTTTGAAAATTTCATTGCATATAGTAAAATTCACGATACTTATTGTAAAAGTTAAAGTCTCAATAAATAATATTTTCAAATTATAACAAAATAATCAACATACTTATTCATTACTAAGATTTGTAATTTTATCCAAGTATTTTTAACTATAAATATCTATAAAAATAATTGTGATTGTATATTTTTTGGAATTTTTAGTTACAATATAAGCTACTTAGATATGTGGAGCATTGTTTTAATTTTCAAGTCTTAGCTATAAAAATTAAAGACTAAATTTTTTCTATAAAATACTTATGGTTCGTAAATGTTTGTTTGAATAAACTTCAAATGTTTATAAAAAAAAATTGAGCTATGCATTTTCAATATTTTTGACTCTGAATAATTTTTTTTTGTCATTTATAAAAATTAATTTTAAATTAAATTATGTAAAAAAAAATTGCTTTATTTAAATTTTTGGTAAAAATTTTAAGTTTTGTTTTAAGTTACAACAAAAAAATCAATTTTCAAATATTATTTTATGTATAATGTTCGGTTTTAAATTTTGTTTATTTTTCCTATAATATCAGGTTCATAATGTTTTCTGTAATAATCTTTAAAAACCAATTTTCATAAAATTTTACACGAATATACATTTTAAGTTTAAAATCTTATATATTCAATATTTATTGGATCATCTTGAAACTGAATCAAAAGATTATCGTCATTATATTCAAAGCAAAGTTAAATTCATGTGCACTATGTTTTTATATTTTTATAATCAAAAACTATATTAATGCATTATTTTGCTCAAAATGTATATTTTCAACACTATAATCTTAATAAAACACTCAATATTTATTGGATCTTCTTGAAAACCAATACCAAGTTTAATCTTTTCCTTTTATTTAAAAATTAATCAATATCAGATTCATAATGTTTTTCTAGATTTTTAATCTTTAAAACTAATTTACATGTAAATTGTACACCGATATACATTTTAAGTTTAAAATCTTAATAAAACTGTCAATATCTATTGGATCATCTTGAAACTGAAACAAAAAGATTTGTCTCGTCTATTAACAAAATTAAATTCATGTACTATGTTTTTATATTTTTATAATCAAAACTATTTAATGCGATTTTGCACAAAATTATATTTTCAACACTAAATCTTAATAAAACACTCAATATTTATTGATATTGAAACCAATACCAAAAGATTTGTCTCTTCCTTTTTATTTAATAGAAATGAACGTCATCTTCATTATGTTTCATTTTTATAATTAAAAACAATTATAATGCAAGATATTACACAGAATACATATTCACAAATAATATCTACACACTCATTATTCATTGGATCATATGAAAACCAAATCAAAATATTTGTCATCATTTTCTTAGATCTCAGTCCAGAAAGTTCATTTTAAAGTTACTATCACTATTTTATATTATTTACCTTGTTATCATTATAGACGTATTTTATTTATCCCTAAGTGATTACTGCTCTAAATCGTTCAATATTAATTTTTCATCAGATTATCATGAAGAAAATACTGTTTCATAGTTTAAATTTCATTCACTTTAGTATAACGACACACGATTATTGTGTTTATTTGGATTCTCCCTTTGTACACCAATAAAAGCACCTATCATAGGTAATTAGGGCATTATTTATATAGCGATATGAAGATCAATTGGTTATTTTGTTTCAAACTTTGTTTTATGTCTGGTGTATATGAAATTAACGGATTAGTTGTCAATGCTTAGCATGTAACTGAAACGAATTCACTTTACTGTATTATGCATTATTCGTAAGATACTACAAACAATTTGGTTTGATTTCCTTAATGTTGAATGCTCTTAGTCTACCGCATAACAAATTTAGTCATTGCTGTCCTCCTAATCTTTATCATCAATATGTAATTCTATTTTAGTTTAAACAATTGCCATAAGTCGTTGTTTCACGTATTAATAAAATAATTTTATTTTCAGCAGAACAATCAAACATTATTCTTACGCATTTAAATTGCTAATAGCATCGTTATTCAGTACACGCGATTTTGTTGTTTAAATGATTTTACCCGTTATTGAAGGTAAGCCGATATTGTGTTTGCATTTGTA